TACATAGAAATTTGTACAACTTAATACCTTAAAATCTGACAGAATTTTCGAATTCTGATAAGATCTGCAGTTTCTAAATATGGTCGCCAACATGTTTAAAGTTCCAATGGAAGAATTTTTGCCTTGATAGATGGGAAGAAGAAAACTATCACAAGTTCTAAAGATATAGACTAGAGGTTTACATTTTCTTAAGCCATTTACTTTTCTCTTTTTTTACAGTGTATTTATTCATTTTCACTTGTCTAGTTTTACATATCGCATCATTTACGTTTATTTACTGATTGTTTTTTCTTTTTTTGCATATATTTTTTTACTTTTCTTTGCTGGCCAATTTTAATCGATTAAATATACCTATATGGTAAACAGAACAACATGATAGGCGTGGCTATTGTATATTGTATATTTTTATTATTAATTTAAATTATTTCAATAGGATAAAATTTTTATTTGTATATTATACAAAGGAAGGTATCGTTTTTTGCTCCGAGCAGTAACTAATAGAGGGAGCGTGAAAACGAGTTTGTAGGCGATTGTTGTGTTAGCAACATCTGTAGAGGAAGTGAGGAAGTGGGCACAAGGGGGAAGGTAAACATCCTTCTTGTTCAGTGGCGTATCATTTATCTATAAAAACACACAACATTGTCCAAACGTTTTATTTGTAAAATAAAACTAAAAAATTTGCCAATTTTACTATTTTTAAAATAATACCGTCTTATATGTGTCTAATGCAGGAAATGAAACAAAATCGCTGTAAAGGTATAATTTTTTCAATTGAAAAATAAAACCTTCAAATCAATTTTATTATAAATAAATACAGGAGCGACTAGTTTCGGCCTTACAGGAACATCTTCAGGCCTTTAATACAATAATCTTTATTAATTATAATAGGTTGGTCACTTACGAATAACATTAAATAGTATAAACCACAAAAATGGATCCATATTATAGCGTTACAGCATTATAGAATTAAAGCTGTGAAAATAAAAGAGCAGTGCAAACGTAACTAAAAGTAAGAAAACTGAGTACGGAATCTACAAGAGAAGAGGTAGAATGAGCAATTACGAATGCATTTAAATTGCTCGGGATAACAAATAAAGCTGATAATGTAGTGGTATAGTCCCCGTCAAAGAAGGTCTGGATATGTTAAAGAGGAAGGCGTTTTCTCTGTAAATTTGGAGAATGTAAGGATGGAGGGAAGACGAATCTTGTTAGCTCAGGTGTAGATGACTAGAAAAAGGAGCGTGTAGATGAAAGCTCCAGTAAATATCGTCACTTTCGTTTAATTTTTTATTCTCACTCACCGTTTCGGCTTTATCTTCGAAATTCATTTTTAAAAGAAAATAAAAGTAATCGGACGTAGTTATGCAGAAATGATCCAATCCACCTAAACCATATTTTGAGAAAAATGATGTTTAAAGTTAAATTCTCTACGCGATGAACATAGAATATATAGCGAGTATTTATGATTTTCACTATTAATATCCTTCTAAATTGTTGGATCGTTTCAGCAGAATATAATTTTGGACTGTAACATATCGAAAAGCTACTCAAGTCATTTCTGGTAGATTTGTGGAATGGATCATTTCTGCATAACTACGTCCAATCATTCATGCAAGCATATAATAAAACAACATGAATTCATTATATTTAATAAGCTAATAAACGTTTGTTTCAATGAAAAAACATATGTGAACATAAAAAATATATAAAGAGATAAGATTAATATCAAAATCAATTTGAAAATACAACAGATAATAAAATGAAATAAATCAATACAAGTACAAATAGAAAGTTAATAACATACCTTCTAAAAGTAACACATTTTAAGTAGATACATGTTTAAAGAGTTTATTCCTGAACATAACTAATCTAACGTTTTTCCACTTTTTAATATTATGAGGGTTTTTGTAGTTGAAATGAAAATTATAATTTATTTTGGTCCTAATAAAAATTTAAACATAGGTTATCAAAGAGTAAAATACACAATAGAACTTCAAAATCTTAAATCGTTATCAAAAGTTATTAATTGAGAATTATATTTGCAAAGGCCGTTTCAATAATATTTTCAAAAGTTCTTGGAATCGTTAACAGAAACCTGCAAAAAATATATCATTTTTTTCCTAAAATATAAGATATCACACAATGCACATTCATATATCATTGTGCTAGAAAAATACTAGGTAGGTACTGAGACAATTTAAAAAAAGTATTTCGAGAAACTCAACTTTTAATGTCATCATTGTACTTAACTTTTTTATTGCTAAATTATAAATAATGTCATTTTGTGTAGTTCGTTGGGATTTGTATAATATATATTATAAAAACCTATCGTCAATGTTAATGTGCCAAGTTTTTTTAATAATTATGTCCTTGTTATAGTAAAAACACATTTAAACACATTTTTAAAGTTTTCTGGATTTCTGCTTTAAATTATCGTACAATTGAACTAACTAATTGTGCGTTTAAGTAAAGGTATATCTCTTTTTTGTTATAACAGTCTTTGTATACTGTTCTAACTTTTTAGATAATCAGAGAAAACAGTAAGACATCTTAATATATTCTATTTCACCAACAAAAATGTAGAATAATTAATCTCACATCAAACGAAAAAAGTCATTTTAGTATGTCCTAATAGGTTTTAACTTAAAAACTAAATAAAATGTATATAGCAACTGTGTTTAAATAAATAAATGTTTTTATACCCGACTATAGCACCAGACAAACATTTTTTTTAGATCATAATGATCTGCATAACTCAAAATAGTCAAAATCCACATTATTTAAGTTGTTCTAGTATTGTTTTAGCATTTTAGTAGTGACAGGATTGATTATTATACTTCTTTCGTCGAAATTGCATTTTTCTTTAATATTTTCCTCTCCTGAGGTCTGTAATAAAAATGTTCATTAGCATAAAAAGTTATTCAGGTGGTCACTTGTTGAATTCCTATATTTTGGAACCATGTATTTCTTTCTCATATCAAGAAAAGGAAACCTAAAAAAAATAACAATAAACTTTACAAAGATATGTGATATTAAAATAATAATAAGTAATTAACCTTTACTATAATCATTATGAAACGGATGAAGACGAACTTAGCTGGAGTTTACTTGCTCTTAATTTTAATTTTTCGATAAGAAAATAAGAAAGTTTAATTGCAAATTAAAGGTGATTGCCTAATGCACTGCCTCTGATAATTAGGTTGTCTGTACTTACTTATGATATTATCTTGAAGAAGCATTTTCAACAGGCCTTTTACACATAAAGCATGTTTTCACCATATTATTAGAGATAATAAATCTTAAATATACATTTACAACCCTTACAACGTTATAAATAATAATATTTTCCGTAAAATACAAATAAGAAATTGAAATGTGTCAGAAAGTGTCAGAACTGGCGCTGTCAAACTTGGCAATGCTGATTTAATAAGCCAATTACAGAAGAGGTATTTTCCCCCTCGGGGGGAGTAGATGTTGCTAACAAAATTTATCGCGGGGAAGGGGGGAAGACTCCCCCTAGTAGTAATTGCTCGGAGCTAAAAATAGTCTTAGATCTGTCACAGTATAAAGCTTATAGTATATACTGTGATTCTGTGTTAAGACATGCGTTGTTGCCATATTTAAAACTTGGTTTAACAACTTAGATTTTCATACTAAATGTCAAACTTTTCCAGTTCTTAGATTTTTCAGTTAAAAATTGTTAAATATTCGGGCCTTTTCAGACTGATTTAATAGTTTTAGTGATTTATTTTACGTATTTTTTTTTTTTTCAGTTTAAAGAGATTTCTTGCATTAAATATGTTTTATTTATTAATAATTTTAGCCGTCCGTATACACCCTAAATGTAACGTAATTTAGAATTTTACGCAATGGAAATTCATTCTAAGCTTATACTTTTAATACAAAAACAAATTTTCGTTTTCCTCCCTTAGATTTTCAAACTTTTTGAAATATAAAAAAAAATCATGAGAAACCCAAAATATCCATTCTTCTTTGTACAACTTATTAAAATATGCAAAACCATACCTAATAAATACCTTATAATCTGACAGAATTTTCGAATAATCTAAAACCAATGAGCGTCACACGTTAGAACGAAAAAAGATGTCCACCGACGATGGGTGGCGATCAGGTGTTTAGTACAGAACAGATGTGAAAATTAAAATGACATTTACAGTTAGAGGGCATAGAATGTGATCGTAACATGGGAAAAAATATGTAAGAAAAATTGTTCTGTATTATATTTATATGTTACTAAAAAGCTTTAAGATATAATTTGTTTGTTTTTTATGATTTGTTGATTCTGATTTGAAATATTTTAAATAAATTTGTTGGAAAAATAAAGTATAATGATTGATTTAATTTTATTATGCTTAAAAAACTAATATTTTTTATACTAAATTCACAATATTATTAATTTTAAATAAGTATGCTATTACTTTACTGTACAGTTTCGATTGCTAGCTGATAAGTTGGTAAATATTATGATTATTGATTAACAAAAGTGTATGAAACTATATGTACCGAACTATGAAGAAGTTAACATTAGCAGACCTGCTGGCTAAACTTCCCGTATCAGATTCCTAGCCCTGCCTCTATCCCGAAACAGAAATAATAACCTTAAACATGTAGTAAAATGATAAAATGTAGGTGTGAAGTTAAAAATATCAAATGATCGTCTGTAAATATGTATACTAAATAAAATAAACATTGGATAACAATCAGTTTTTAAAAAGTACACAGAAGTATCTATTGGCAATTGATTTAGTAATAATCTAATAGATAGTACAGGTAGACTTAAAACAGATTATCTGTATTAAACTGCATTTGTCTATATAAATATTTGCGATTTGATAAACAATAAACAAATAAAGATTTTTATAAATTTTATAAGAATCATAAAACATTTAAATTTAAATTTGTATAGCTTGAAATATGCTAATAATTATCTGTTTATCTATTAATACAATTTTTTTATCATTTTGTTTACTTTTTTTCAGGGACAAAATGGATTTGAAGATTTACGTAGATACGTCAAACAAGGAGGCGATTTTTGTAAGGAATTATCACAAATACTTCAAGAAAGGTTAGTTGTTGTTTTAGTTAAAACGTAAAAAGTTTAGGTACTTGTACATTGCAAAAACATTTATTTGGATGCAGATGATTTTTTAAAAATGCTTTAAACATAAAAATAATTATTCCTTACTATAATCCCTCAGATATTGTAGAAATCTATTTAATATAAAATTATTGTATATACAGAATTCCTTTTATTTTCCCTTCAGGGCCGAAGCTGAAACGCAGTACGCCAAAAGCCTTTCGAAGCTCAGCACCAAGCTGTCTCGTGCATGTCGAGAGAACGTTGGTGGCTTGAATGAAGCCTGGAAAGCGGTAGCCTTAGAATTGGAAACGAAAGCGGAAGCTCACAGGCTATTGGGCGTTGCGCTGCTAGAAGAAACTGCCAAACCTTTGAGGGTGCTCACAGAAAACCAACACAGGTGAGTTAGGTTTTGATGATGTGTTTAACCAACGGTTCAAATCTCCTAACTTTGTTCAACATAATGCTGCTATTCTGCTGCTGCATTAACTTTAGTAGTTTCACAACGAATGTAGATAATAATGGAGACCAAATGATATTGGGAAAGGAAAGAGATAGAAAGAGAAAGAAAAAACTTATAGCTCAAAGGCTACAAACATGAGTACTTTAGGTACTATCTTTACCATTTGTGCAAGGAAGTATATTAAGTTGTCAAATTTGAGATTTGCTATAAATAAATCCAAATAACATAAATTTTATTATTGATAAGTAGTTTTGATCTTCTGCAGAAACTTATGAATGTAATAATTATATTATCTGGTCTAGTACTATATAGGAATCAAAAGGCTGAGTTGATTGTACTGCAGGATTTGAGTACTCTTTGATTTCAGCCTATTTTTCCAGTTATTAGAGTTATTTATTAGGAGAATTTAGGTTGTTTAAATGTTAGAGCTTGTAAATAACTAATTTACATAATTTGAAACCAAGATAATATTTTAATAACAGCTAACTAATTATGAAAATATTTTTGACAGCAGATATTGTAAAACGTCTCTGTTTTCAGATTAAGGAAGCAATCGGAGAATCAAGTAGACAAAGCTGCGAAGCTATTAACAGAATGGCGGGCTAACGAAGCTAAAGGGAAAAAACACAGTCACTCCTGTTCTAGGGAGAACGAAAAGCTGCAGGATGCTGCAGTTTTGGATACTACTAAATACGGGAAACAAACGTGAGTTTAAAACATTTTAGAAACATAATTTTAAGGGAATAATATCTAGAATCTTGAGTATTGTATTTTCACTTAAAAGTTCTGTTTCCTTCCATAGGATTTCGAAAAGTTCTAGTCTAATACAGTTGGCGCAGATGAAGCAAACTACCAATGACAATACAAAAGTAAGTTTTATTTTATTATTTATAACTATCTTTTATATCCTTTATATCATACTTTTTAAGTTTGAAACAACTTACATTTATTTATGATGGATGGCTGAAATTAACATGACTAAGAAGTGTATCTGTATGAATTTGAAACCAATATTAACTTTTTGAATAAATTATATGTTTGGGTTTCTCGTTGACTCTCATCACCGTCGTTTTTTTTTTAAATTTACGAGATATCTACTGAGTGAAAAAGGACCAATCGTTAGGATAACAATAGGTTACTTACCAACACTGTCACGTAAAAAGCCATCCAATCTAGTAGAAGAAGCAAGACTATGCAGCTTCTGCAAAGAAAGAAAAAGAATTATCCATCAAAGTTTAGTTAAAAAAAAAAAAGTTTATTTAGGGTGCATGTGTGACGTCATAAAATGAAAAATCGAGGTGATAGAAAATATTTTACTGCCATTTGTACATTACAGTTCATCAAATTTCTAGAGGCTTTCGACGGCTAGACAGAGAAAGCACTACTGACAGGCATCCCGACGGATTTACGCAATGAAAGTACACTCTGCGCATCAAGTATTTCACTATTTCATTCAGACGTAAATGTCAGATGTAAATTTCGCTAAAACATTTCTTTTATTTTCGTTTGTGTTTTTTGCTCATTACAGTTTAATAGAACCTAAGTATGGAGTTTAATAGCAAATTAAGAGGCCGCGTGATTAACAGTCAATCTCGCGAAATAGTAGCCAATGTTATAGAGTTTATGAGAAGAGAAGGAAACTTTAATTCACCTTTAATACCATTTAAAAATGTAAATGATCGTGTTGCTGCAGCCACAGGAGTATCTAAAAACACTGTCGTCCGCATTTCTGGAGAGAGAAAAAGAATCGATAACCGTGAGATATCGGAATTTTCATCACCAAGAAAAACCATTAAAAAACCAAAAACAGTTAATGATATAGATGAAGCTGCACAAGAATCAAATTTTATTTTTTTATTATTATTCCGTTTCTCCTTTTTGATTTTATATGGGGTTTCAAGTTGTTTTTGACTTATTTCGACGTAAATCACAACAACACACTTTTTTAATAAAGCAAACAAGTGTTAAGAGGTATATGTACGTGTAAACTACAATTACAAAAAATTGATATGAAACCCATGAAACCACCAACAAAAATGTAAAGCTAGCTTCCGTACTAGAACATGGTGTCATTCGTCGAGATAATTTATCGTTTTGTTTAATAGATCAAGAAATGTAAATATTCCGCTGTTATTTTTTATAAAATTATATGAGAAATAAATTTTTTTCTAAATAGTATAGTTTATTAATTTGTAGAAAAACAAAATTTCGAAAATTTTAGTAATGTTTCAGAAACAACCGTTATTATTAATATGTACCATTTTCCTTAATAAGGTAGAAATAAAATATAAACTATTTCCACAATTTACAAAGGCCTACAAAAAAATTATAGGTATTTTCCGCTATCCTACAAAATGTATATTTTCTGACTCAATTTCAAAAGGTTGAAGGAATTCCAAAACACCTTTTATGGCATAATAATTATTTTCAATTCTACATACCGCTGTTCCGGTAAAACAATGACGCAAATGCAAAATTATAAATTTTTCAGGAGAGACGAAAAACGAATATTATTACTTTCAAATTTGAGCACATAAATCACAAAGAACTTGTCCTAAATAGCAAATACAACATTTAACCATGGAGTAACTAATGTCTCCCTTAAACTTGCAGACACAACTGATTCATATGTCATTGTTTTTCAAAAGTGGAGGGGCAAACATTAATATTTGAAAATTGAAGTAACTACCATTTAGATGGCCGCGAGTGGATAAAAAATGTCGCCGTTGTTATACCGTATAGAGAGACTAATTTGGGAACTAATGACATGTTAAAATCAAAATGTCACAATTTTGCACTTGCGTCATTGTTTTACCGGAACGGCGATACTATCTTTAGCTGCTTTTAAAAACGTTCTAAGAAAGTCCAATCAGACCAATTTAATCCCTAAACTATTCCACACTTTTAAAATTTAATTACCTAAAAATATTAAAAACTATTTAAAATAACTTGTTTAGCAGACTGTACAATAGCTATCTTAGTCACACGTAGCGCGTTCTCTGTCTGGGCGTCGAACACCTCTAGAAATTTGATGAACTGTAATTTTGCATTTGCCCACTCTCATACCCCTTTGATTTTTGTTTAAATACAAAATTGTATCATGTACCTCTCAATTTTGTTTTAATTTAAATGCTATAATTAATTAATTGTTAATTTATGTAGCCACGTTAATAATAATGTTAATTCGATGCAAATTGGTAAATAAACCCATACAAAATTTATATTTTAACCCTTTTATTTTTAAACTTTAAAATTTAACGTAATAATTTGCAAAGTAGGTACTATTTACTAAGATCTCACTTGAGTCACGCTTAAACGTGGACAACGTTCATTTGCTATCAAATATATTATATTTAGCTTGATTCTATCTGGCGATGACCAACAGAGCTAACGAACAGCGCCATTTCGCCAGTTGGTTAACTTACTGTGTTGATGGTCACATATACTTTATAGTTTAAACCTAGTAGAATGAGTGGCTAGCATAGGTGTCCCTCACAAGTTGAATAACTAACTTTCACCATCCAGATTTGCGTGGATTTATGTGCCTAATTAACCTTGTATATGTCTAAAATATTGATTTTTATATTTTCTATTGAAATGACCCAAATTCACCCATAGAAAAACAGATGTCTAACCTAACTGTATTTCTATTCAACTCGGTAAATCAACTCTACTTAATAATAGAACTCGATTTATAAGAGAAGAAAAAAATGTATCAATAGTTATTAATTGCTAAAAATTGATAAAAAGGGAGAACTGCTACTATATTCGCATTGTTCAGTCATTTTTTTATCGTTTAATGTTGTTACTCCCAAATAATTGAAACTTAATCCTTATTGAATTATAAAAATAACAATTACCAATAATATTAATTAATTTTTCGTAGGAAATACACATATTAAATTTTTCCACTATTACTTTACCACTTAAGACATAAATAAATGTTTGTGTATAAATAAACATTATTTTTAATTAATAATAGCCTCTCATACTTACAATAACCTAACAAAATACTTAACATAAAATTTACAAAGACCAAGCCATCCACATTGACAACACACGCGATTCTACAATCAAGATTGTTAATTATCATATAATTTTGATTCCAGTTGGAAGGAAAAAAACGCAAAGCTGAGGATGCTGTGAAAAAAGCCGACGTGGAGTACTACACACTTTGCGTGAGAGCAGAGAGAGCAAGGTACTCAATTTTTTTATATATAAAAAACTTACAACGTAAATAAAGTAATTAAGTTAATAATTTGATGCTAGTATAATGTTTTTATAAATGAGAATTCTCTGTAGTTTTTTACAATACTTTATTTACACTAATTTGTATTTTTAACATAAGTAATTTGGTATTTCTTATTTGCTTTATTGCTCGACTTCTACTTTGGCTACGCGCCATTTACCAACAACCTTCTTTCCGAACACTTGACATCAACTGTCTGTCATGTGTCATCACGTTCAGTAATTCTGGGTTCATTTAGTGTTACTATACCACAGCTAGAATCCGATTACAATAAGAAGAACACTGCTACGTCATCATTTGCGAAGTACTTCGTTGGCTATCGTCGTCTACTGGAGATTTGGAGGCGTTTTTTATCTACATACTTTCATTTCTTTTATTATTAGTTATTTTTAATACTATACATGATATCATTACTGAATTTTTCTATATAATTATTTTTTACTTGTTTATTCTCAGACTTGAATGGGAAACTGCGGTCCTACGTGGTGCCAGTACGTTCCAAGCATTAGAAGAAGAGAGACTAAACAACCTTAAAGGTGTTCTCACTTCATATTTACACCATAACAATTATATAGGTCCCCGATTGATAGAGGTAAGTCTATATAATAATTATGACTTATTTGCACATTTTAAAGCATGTTAATAAATAAATTAAGTCGCAACGGGTCCAATTGAGGTTCCTGTGGCACACCCGATAATTCTATAATTCCGTAGTGTTTATAAATGGTTTTCTTGTATGAGCTGATCTCCACTGTGTCATTACTATGATATTATGTTATCTTCAAAAGATGATGTTGATGATGATCTTTCATTTGTACTTGCTAACAATAATCACATGTAAAAACAAGTTTATTAATATTTCCAGAAGCCACTTTTCTACATTTATTGTGGAAAAAAATGTTAAATACAATTTTTTTGTTAAATAAAATACAAATAAAAATTTTATTTCGTTTTTCCAGGCATCTGAAAGATTGAAAGGACCAGTAAACCAAGCAGAACCCACCAAAGATTTAACGACTTTTCAAAATTTGAGGCAAACTTCTCAACAAGTTTCCGAACAGTTGTTGCCAGATTTCTACTGCGAGCACACCACGTTGGCCATGAATCGAGAGAGGAGAAAACAAGTGAGTGCGCATAGATTTTTTAAAATAGACGAATGTTTGGCATTGCTTTCGTATTTTCAGAAGACTAATTAAAGATAAATCAAAGATTAATCAAAGATAAATCAAAGATAAATCAAAGATAAATCAAAGATAAATCAAAGATTAATCAAAGATTAATCAAAGATTAATCAAAGATTAATCAAAGATTAATCAAAGATTTATCAAAGATTTATCAAAGATTTATCAAAGATTTATCAAAGATTTATCAAAGATTTATCAAAGATTTATCAAAGATTTATCAAAGATTTATCAAAGATTTATCAAAGATTTATCAAAGATTTATCAAAGATTTATCAAAGATTAATCAAAGATTATTCAAAGATTAACCAAAGATTAATCAAAGATTAATCAAAGATTAATCAAAGATTAATCAAAGATTAATCAAAGATTAATCAAAGATTAATCAAAGATTAATCAAAGATTAATCAAAGATTAATCAAAGATTAATCAAAGATTAATCAAAGATTAATCAAAGATTAATCAACGATTATTAAAGATTAATCAAAGTTTAATCAAACTTTTAGTCATCAAACAGATTTAGATTTTCAGTTTTTGTAATAATTTTTAAATAAATATTTATCTGTCGAAGAAAAGTCACGGAAATTTTGAAGCATTAATTTTTTTTTCAAATTTTTTGGATACAACAGATTTTTTTAACGGTAAATATTCAACAAATCCTAACAATTTCATTTAAAGATATTGATTAATAGTATTAAAAAATATTTTCTTGTATAAATACTTGGTGATTATATTTTTCGTTAATTTATATAATTTGTCATTCTTGTATACCTACATTCAACATATTGACGACTCTTATTTAAAATAAATACATATTTTTCATTTTTAAAACCATTTTTTGGAGCATCCTGTATACATTAAACTATTATTAAACGACATTTTTAGTTTTGCAGAACTATAACAGATGTTTGTCGGTCTTTAAATATATTGTTTCCAAATTTATAAGAAATTCACCTGTACTATAAAAAATTAATAATTATAGTCGCGGAAAATATGTTATAATTTTAGTCTTATAACTTTTTTGCATTTTAGGCTTTATTAAAACTATTACAGTTAATCAGGCAGGACATGGAACGAGAAAAAAAGTCAAAAGTTGGATTAGAAAATTTATCCAAAGCCATAAAACAAACGCCGAGTTTTGGATCAGAAGATTCCCAACAATCCGTTATAGAAAAATTATATCACGTAAGAAAAATTGATTTTTTTATCATTTCTGTTCTTACTGTTGCCATATGTAGAAAATTTACGTAGATTTCCCGTAAAAAATATATATTATTTTTCTTTTAGATGAAATCTATGTTGACGTATCTGGAAGGAGCAAAATACAAGGTACAAAACGCGCTGTCAGAGTTAGATGGCAGATCAAGGAGTAATCATCCTCTGTCTACTCATATTACCATCACTAGAGATAAATCGGGGCTTCAGCAAAGTATTTTGAAGGTTAGTTTTATTCGTAAATGGATTTTCATTAACTGTAATTAATACTATTCATATATACCTGTATTATACCTATTATATACATATATACCTATGTACCTATGCACCTATGTACCTATGTACCTATGTACCTATGTACCTATGTACATATGTACCTATGTACCTATGTACCTATATACATATATACATATATACCTATGTACCTATGTAAGTTTGTACCTATGTACCAATATACCTATGTACGTATGTACCTATGTACCAATATACCTATATACCTATGTACATATGTACATACATACCTATATACCTATATACATATATACCTATATACCTATATACCTATATACCTATATACCTATATACCTGTATACCTATATACATTATATACCTATATACCTACAAATTATAAAGTATTTTTCCTCCATTTGAACATTTTCAAAGGGTTCTACCAAGTACTTTGAACCTTGTTATCCTTTTATAGAACTTGACAGCTTCAACTATACTTTTATTTGTCTTTAATTGATGGAAGCACTATCAACTTATTTATCATTATCTTTATAGGTACCACAATGGTTAAAAGACGAATGGGGCGATGCGGATCGAAGTCCTGTCAGTCAAAAATCGACTAAATCCAGTCAATCCGATAATTCCGATCCACACAACAACGACGTAGATGATCCTGATTGGTTGGACAGGGGCGCAGCAGACGGAAACTCTAATCAGCCGGACTCTGATTTTGGTAAATATTTAATAGATTCAGAATACCAATAAACTAATAAAAAACGGAAAAAAATGAAAGATTTTTATGTTTTAATACATCTGTTGATTAACTTGTTGTTTATTGATGTTAGATGCAAAAGGGGTTAAGTGATTTTTTTTAAATGAATTAAGATCACTTAAACCGTTATACCTAGAACAAACTGCATGTTATCAATAACATGCTTTTTCTACCAGCTGACAGATGTCGTTAATACATTCAAAAATCACTTGTATCGTTTTACTACCAAAAAAGTAATAGTTTTAAATAACAAAATGAACACTTAACTCATTTAATTAAAAAATATCGCTTGAACCCTTTTGCTTCTAACCCCTTCAATGTTACCTTTCTCTCATTGCCCAGTGTTATATCATATATCTATCCTCTTGAAGAAAACATCGTCTCTGTCTCAGTAGTTTGTTTTATGTGCCCTTTCCACTTATAAACAACTGAAAGTAAACTGTTTTTACTAATGAGAATTATTGTCCTTCTTTTAGACGAATTTTCCTCGAACTGCAGCAGCGCAGGTGACAATCTCTGTTCGACAGACGAGACACCGCTCCACCCAATAGCGACGTGTCGCGCCATCTACACATACACACCGAACATGCACGATGAACTGCACATAAAAATCGGCGATATAATCTCGGTTTACCGTCAACAAGATGATGGTTGGTGGTTAGGGGAATGCAAGGGCAACGTTGGAATATTTCCCGCCACGTACGTAGAGCTGGTTCAAAGCAAGTAGCGGTCGATGGGAGTCAGATCTGGAGCGCGTGTTGGCCGGTTGGGTAATAGAGAAAATTTGTGAGGTTAATTATTTAATGAAACTTACGGGGTTTTTATAAAGAGTTTTTAGCATATTTTTGAATGAGATTATTAATTGAATTTTATATAAAAACAGATCGATTTTGTTTTTAACTATTTCGAATATTTTTTTGTACATATTGTATAATTTTTGTAATATAAATATTGACTTTTTAGATAATCTATTTTTTAAGTTATTTGTATAACGATTTTTGTTGTTGTAATATTGTCGTTTAAGAGGTACCCTCATAAATAATTTGTAATATTTATTATGTTACTCTATATCCATATACTCACAATTGATATTTGTTTATACGTCCATTTGATGGAATTTTGTAATATTCATGAGACAATATGAATAGTTTTATTCATTTTTAAAAATTATTAAATACATATTTTTAATTTAAATTCGTTTTTTAATTATTTGTAATTACAGACGAAGCTGTACTTGCAAATTGGGTCCCGTTAAAAAAAACATGTACATTCGGTCCTGTAATTTCCGTCTTACATGACGGCGCATCCATTCACCAATAGAAGGTGGGTTAATCCACGGCACTTAGGCCTCACTATATCAATTGTGCATCCTCCTAAGTAGATAAGCACCTCCTAGATACAGATTTAATGTGGTTAACAACGTCGCCACAAGGTGCTTCTCTTAACATGGGTATGATTAACATACATATATTGAAATAAAATGCTTGCTTAATAGCAGTTTGGGCAACTAGTTATGGACCCACTCTAAGCCCCACGTTGGGCGCCAATTTGGTAGCCGTTAATTAGTCATAATTAACGTTTAATTACCTTTGTAAATCAATTATATTTAATTTTGACTAACTCTTAGATATTATACCAAACATTTAGGTAGAAACACCGGAATATTTCATAACTGATTTTGAAAATGGGAGGAGAGAATATTGATAAATATTAAAACAGTGGTAAAACAAGTCATTGACTAGAGTGATAATCTAATAGTTTGTTTTAATGCAATACGAGCGTTTTATTCTAAAAATTAAGTTAAAACATTTAAAAATACTTCTTAGAATTTTTGTGAAATTCTTTATATTTTCAAATAATAATACCAATTATTACAATATTCCCCAGATAGAAAAAAAATTCAACTACTTGTTCGATTCTTTTTAAAACCCTTAATGCAAATAATTTACAAAAATTATCCAAATTATTTATAATATATGTGATAACCTAATGCTCGCCTCACTGCACAAGTTTTGTCTTCTTTACTTGGTTTTCTATAACTACCCTTTGCTCTCTGACTGTCACCTCTTCTGGATTGGTCCCTTCTCGGTCTAGTTTAATCTTTAGGCTGCTATACTTTGTAACCCTTTTGGCTGAGGTAACGGGTTCTTTCCGCAGCGATAGTTTATCCATTTTCTAATAGTCTGTGGCTTTGGACCCTCTGGTTGACTTACTGCTTTGGACTACTTCTCTGGCTTACTACTGTGAGATTATTACTGTACATGACTGCTGTACTTGGCTGCTACAGGTAGGTCCCTATTGACTGACTACTAGGAATGGCTTCTCTTTAAAGCTTATAGTCTATTTTTATGTATGAGAGAGTAATAAAACAGCATTTCTAATGGAAAACTTAGTACAGTCATTTTAAATATTTTTACAGAATAATCTAAATATTTCCTAAAATTGTAATAAATGTACCTGAGCTATAACAAGTTTTGGGTCTTTTATTGGTCCTTTATAAACATAAGCTGTACAGAACAATAGAAAAAGGTTTAGACAGGCCAAAAGCCCTGTGTATTAAAGATCACATAGCCGTATCTTAAGATTATTTTCAATAAGTACCTATTTGCCAATTTTGTTTTATTTTAATTCCAAGAATTTCTTACAGTAATCGAATTATAAGTAGATAAATACCTTTCCAACAAATTTCACCGAAAATGCGATTATAGGTTTTCCATTTAGTAAGGAGGTCCAAGTTGTGTATTCTTGACAGTTTACTAAATGACGACGTTTAGTTGCAACATGCAAGGTGCAGTGTGAATTCTAGTGTGATCATGGAAAATTTGGAGGGGCCGCGTAAATGACAAAAATCGGTCCTTTACCAGTTAATGAAAAAATATTAATATTTAATTATTTTAAATCATTTACAGACAAATATTTATGTAAAAGTGTTGATGACACAGTGGAATTAGTAGTACGCTTTGTGTTGGGAAATCTACGATTTACAGAGTTGTTAAAGAAGAGAAATGTGGCGAGTTTCAAACAGCACGTAAAGCTCCAGGAAAACCAAAATTTCAATTAGAAAATCTTTTGAAAGAAAGACTTCGAAGGAAAGTGCATGCGTTCTTTTTTAGAAAAGAATTTTCGACAGTAGACAAAGTTCTTGCCACGGTTCGAGATGATAAGGATTACCCTGAAATGAGTCGAAGCACACTATGGAAACTTTTAAAAGAAATAGGTTTTCTATGGAAAAAGCATTCCAGAAAGTCTATTTTAATAGAAAGAAGCGATATTGAAGTATGGAGAAGAAATTACCTAAGGACTATAAAAGAAATGAGAAACCAAAGAAGAAATATATTTTATTTAGATGAAACATGGATCAACGAGGGACATAAACCAAATAAATTTTGGCAAGATGAAACTGTTACAAGTCGAAGACAGGCTTTTTTAAATAATTTATCTACTGGTTTAAATCCACCATCAGGAAAGGGGCGCAGACTAATAATAGTACACATCGGTAGTTCAAACGGTTTTGTTAAAGGTGGTTTATTGACTTTTCAATCTACTCGTACCGGTGACTACCATGAGGACATGAATTCTGATGTCTTTAAAGAGTGATTCGAACAAATTATAGATCTTCTTCCTCAGAACTGTATAATAGTGAGAAAAGAACTGTATCTTTTGTGTTCCCTTCATAAAGAGAAATTCAAAAAATATGAAATTGACGAAATTGCAAAAAATCGTGGGATGACGGTGGTTAGATCACCACCATATCATTGCGAAGTAAACCCGATTAAACTGATATGGGCACAGATAAAAGGAGAAGTTTCAAGAAAAAATAATTTTCTTTTAAAATGAGTGATGTTAAACAGTTGTTTTTGGAGGCTGTAAATAATGTGAAGCCTGAAAACTGGGAAAAGGCAGTAAATCATACGATTAAAGAAGAAGAGAAAATGTGGAAGTCGGAAAATATTACCGATGAAATGATCGAGCCACTCATTGTAAATATTGGTTGCGACAGTTCATCTTCTGATTTCGATTCTGATTTGGATTTATAGGTAAGAAGTAGTTTTTATATTAAAATTATTATTTATGAACGTAATGTTGTTTAAAAGTCATAGTTTAAACACTTATACCTACATAACCCGTTTGACACAATGTTCTTAACATACTTTGTGGAAAAATGAAACATTTTAGAAAAAATTGCACTTTTTTTACCTTCAGCTGTTTAGAAGTTATAAGCAGGTTAATTAGGTGAAAATATAAGTGTATACTCGAGGAATAACTTCAAAAAATATTTTAACTGTCTACTAAAAGAAGTGATACGCCTATGGATTACGAACGCTTTATTATTTTAATACTCTCTCATACAAAAAAATCTGATGTGTCCAACACATGACTTTCCTATCTAGTTATTATAGGCCTTTTCCGGTTATTTTGTACAACCTATTGTAGCATCTTTATAAATGTTTGGAGGATAAACTAAATATATACATTGTCCACATACATCTACCTCAAAACATTTTTCTATAGATATTCATTGAAAACGAAAATACTGAAAAATTTAAATTTAGCACTTTTCCATTACGGTCCATTTTATAAAAGTCATGTACAAACAAAAATTATAGAGATCGATATCGCAAACAACTTTTAGTTCAACAATTTTCATAAAAATCAGAATTTGGACATTTTGTCAAATTTCTCGAATACGGACCATTTCAGGAAATTTTGATAAAAAGCAAAAATTATAGATAATAATATTAGAAGTAACTTTTATTTGAACAATTTTCTTCTCCAAACGTAAATAACAGATATATTCTATAAAATATAAAAATGACCACCCATAAAGTACCCCCCCAGATGTTTCGACTCTGTCCAAAATTTAATTACTTATCGCAGGCTAGAATAAAGCTTAAGTTTAAAATTATATGTTTTGCCCCCTATCCGTTTATGAGTTTTCTTCAAAATTCTAGATTTAAACTTTTTCTTAAATATTTCGAATACGGTCCATTTAAGAGAAATTATGTATAGAATAAAAATTATAGAGAATTATATTACAAACAACTTTTATTTGAACAATTTTTATAAAAAAATTTTTTTTACATTTTATCAAATTTCTCGAGTACGGACCATTTTAGGAAAATTTTGTATAGAACAAAAATTATAGATAATTATATTAGAAGTAACTTTTATTTGAAGAATTTTCTTCTTGAAACGTAAGTAACAGAGATATTCCATAAAATATGAAAATGACCACCTATAAAGTACCCCCCCCCAGATGTTCCGACTCTGCCCAAAATCTAATCAATTTATTAAACGCTGAAATAAAGCTTAAGTTTAAAATTTAGTGTTTTTCTGTGTATCGGTTCATGAGTTATGCGACATACAGATACACACACACACACACACACACACACACACACACACACACACACACACACACACACACACACACACACACACACACACGCACGCACACGCACACACGCACGCACGCACGCACGCACGCACGCACCCACACACACACACACACACACACACACACACACACACACACACACACACACACACACACACACACACACACACACATCATCGCGAAAATAGTCAAAACGGATTCAGGGGACCTCAAAACGTAAAAATCCGTTGAAAACTCGAGGTCGAAAAAAATCATGATTCCTATACTATCCTTATATCTGTATACAGATAGGAAAGTAAAAATAGACTATAGTAAATTCCATATAGATT